GAAGCCCAACACCTACACATGTTAGATCGGTAAAGACTTAATGTATGTGAATGTTGATGGATATTGATGTCAGTGACTATTGTTCATCAAATTATACGAAAACAGCAAAACTTTACATTATAAATATCAATTCTGTAAAATTCTCTTTTCTTTTTCTAGCTACCTCGCTCTTCCTCTCTGCAGCAATCCGAATATTCCAGTGATAATATTCTGATAAAAGTATCATAATCGAACAAATAAGGGAAAACATTTTGTTTATTATTAAAAAGCACTCTTCAACAGTTTTATAATTAGGATAATAACTCTACTAAACAACCTACCTTTCCTCCTTGTCCTAATGCTTCACACATTCTTCTTGTTATTCTTCGTATTTCCTCTTCTCGAGGTCAACAACAATGGCAGATCCCCAAAGTAGAATCAAACTTCGCGATGGTAGATGCTTGGCTTACAAGGAAAGAGGTGTTCCCAAGGATCTTGCCAAGTTCACCATCGTTCTTGTTCATGGATTTGGTAGCTCCAAAGACATGAACTTCAATGTCTCACAAGTATACACTAATCTTTTTCTTTTTCACTCGATCCTCTATATTTCTCTCTGTTTCCTTATTTCTGGATCATCGCTTCAAAAGTTTGACTTTTATTCTTGAGATCCAATCCAATCTATGTGCTTTACATTAAATCTACAAATTTAATAGAAAACCAAGAACTCGCACTTTTTTATTTATTTTCCAAGTGGTTGGTATTGTCTGAAAAATGTCATGTAATCCAAATTTGTCTTTCTTAAGAACAGAGATTTATGTTTCTGGATTTCTTCAGCAACTTCAGATTCTAGTCCATCACAAGATCCAAGAAACTGAGATTTGGTTGAAGACTAATGAGGTTTGTTTTAGTTATAATCTCAGGAGCTTGTGGACGAAGTTGGGATATACTTTGTGCTATACGATCGAGCTGGTTATGGAGATAGTGACCCAAATCCGAAACGTTCGTTGAAAAGTGAAGCCTACGATGTTCAAGAACTCGCGGATCGGTTACAGATCGGATCCAGGTTTTATTTGATCGGAATCTCAATGGGTTCTTACACTGTGTGGAGTTGCCTCAAGCATATTCCTCAAAGGTAAAGAAATCATATCGAATAAAAATTGACTTATTATTATGCTTCAAAGTCTCCATAACACATGTTTTATTTCGAGTGTTGGATAAAAATGTCAGAGAACATGTTCAAATTCATATTGTAGGACCAATTTGTTTTTAATCTTTCTTGACAAAATATCTCATAGCCATAATTTCTTATTTCCTCTAAATTTAAATCTTCGCAAGTGCATAGATTTATTTGTTTTTCCCTTCCATATGATCTTAGCCATTGGTTTAATGTATTCTATCGGATTTGAATCCAGTGATCCACTTCCACATTATGTGGTTAACAGATAAATTTGTAAAACAAATAGAAAACAATATACTAGGGTCAAATTTATGATTTGACATACATATTATATGTAACAGGTTAGCAGGAGTGGCGATGGTGGCTCCGATGATAAACTATCGGTGGCCATCGATTCCAAAGAGTCTAATGAAAAACGATTACAGAAGAGAAGTGGCAAAATGGTCTTTTTGGATTGCTAACTATTTTCCGGGACTTCTTCAGTGGTGGGTGACTCAAAACATGTTTCCCACAACTTCGATGCTAGAAAAGAACCCTCTTTATTTTAACGACCAGGACATCGAAGTCCTCAAGCACACCAAAGGCTTCCCAATGCTCACTAAGGTAAGTTTACTCTTTACAAAATACTTCATTGTACTAAAATCTCTTCAAGCTTTTCCTCGTATATTCCTTTGATACTAAACCATAAACATTTCGGTAGACGCCAATCGAACATTTGAGGAGACCGTAGATTTAACCAATTATCAAGAGATTAGGAGATCAATCCAAGATGTGTTTTCC